GAACTTCTGCTAGAGTTGGGAGAACTACTTCAATGTTCCATTCACACTGTCTAGGAATGGAGGGTAGTTGTAGAGTAGCTGATGGCCAGCTGAACTGTTCTCTGAAATGTTCCGCCCATCGTTCTAAACGTCTGGACTGAGAGCAGATGAGGGTGTCGTCTTTTTCCGACATAATCTCACTTACACTTGACTTATTAATTCCAGTTTCTTTTAATATTCTGTTCTAATGGGTCTTTTTATTGTGACATTTTTGCGTCCAGTGAGGCGCAAGCAAATGTGTGCCCGTATTAAGGCATGGTCGGAGTCCAAGCAGGTACTCCAGAATGAGCGACAATCTTCTACCGACCCTCTCCAATGATGACTGATGGCAATATGGTCTATTTGAGTCCATCGTTGGTTTGGTATAGGGGGTCGCCATGTCAGACGATGTCTCTCCTTATGCTTAAAATTTGTTTGCTAAAAATAAACGATTGTCTGAGCATAGTTGCAGCAGAGGATCACCATTATCTGTTCGTTATGCCGGAATACTAAAATACCCGCCTAAATGCCTTTCTGTTTGGTTTAAACCTCCTATCTGGGCATTAAAGTCACCTGCTATGAGTATTATGTCTGGACGTTTAGCTTTCTGAAGAGGTTCAGATAGATTTCTGTAAAATTCATCTTTCACTTCGTTTGAGCTGCAGTCGGTGGGAGCGTAGGCAGAAACGACAAAAAGGCAACGACGTGTGTCCCTATCCTTCCGAGTTCTTACGGAGCCGTTTAGCCGAACAGCACATAAATGACTGTTAACGGGGATCCACTCTAACAGTGCTTGTTCTGTCCTTATGCTTAGTGCTATCCCCACTCCTGCCAGTCCACGAGAGCTGGCCATCGGGTCACCAGATACATGGAGGGTGTATCTCGTTGGCTCTCCGTGTTGCCGAGGTAAGGTCAAGTGAATGACCACACTGGGACCCTGTATGCATGTTTCAGAGACACAGCTTACATCAATGGTACGAGATTCTAGGGTTCTAGCCAAGGAACCCTGCTGACCGGTTTGACATTGGATGCCTACGTTGAAGGCTCCAATGTGTAGTTCGGAGCGAGGTTCCAGTAGACCTGGGACAGTGTTTTGAGCAATAGAATTGTTGGCTATGGTGACACTTGAGGAGGAAACCGAACAAGGAAGTTTATAGTTGAAAGTCGATGTAGGAGCAGTACTAGGAAGTGAAGACAGAGGTTGATTATGAATACAGTGGTCTTGAGTGCTGTTAGAGTTATGAGGGCGGTTATCACTTCCCAGTTGCCCACACCGTGGAAGGATTGTTCTGGAGGTACCTGAAAAGGAAATTGGATTAGAGGTGATCTCAGTGACCTGAGATCGTGACCGCAGTGCCCAAGGGACAATTGCTGCAGGTCGGTCACACACGACCTTTTTATGAGTAATTTTTGTGTTAGCTCCGTACTTATTGAGACCTTACCGCCAGAGACGGATATCCGTGGGATAAGGCGAGGTGTGCATTTTTAGGGTCGACCTTTTCTAACCCACCCCTCCTTGTGGGAAGGCAGCATCGCTGTTATGCTGGTTGTCTGAAGGAAACACCTTACTGCTGTCACACCTCTGTGCAGTTAACAGTATGACTTCGCCTTCGGACCTTGGGTTTATTGTTTTTAGTCTTGCCGCACTTCAATCGACCTGTCTAACATGGTAGGAACTTGAGGAACGGTTGTTCCAGCCAGTATAGCTCGGTTGCTTCATCACGATAGGCAAGCCCGACCACCACGTTAAGGTAGCAACAGCGGTCGGGCATAGGTCACATATTGGGAGCCGGATTAAGAAGGCTGTCAGGTCTGTGTGTGCAACCAATTGGCCGTGTACAATTCAGAATACTATTTTTACCTGACGTATGGGTCACATGTTCCATACGTTTATTTCCAAGGTTTGCGGTTGATTTCATCTTCTTCATATTTTGGAGAGAATTATGTGCTGTCAAACATACTTGTTATTGTTTGCGAGGTTTGAATATATCGACGCTAAGTGTGTTGTCAGTTATAGAAATGTCATGATTAGTTTTCCTGTTACCGTTGGACAGTCACTGTAACTGTGTGTTGAACTAATAGGGATTTGGACTGTGTACTAGGTACCATATCAGTTGTGTATGAGACTGCCAAAATATTTTGAACTAGTTGAACGTTTGTACTAACTGATCGGTAAAAGAGCGAGTTTACATTGGAACCTATAAATTCCACGGTAATCCATATGACTTAGTCATTCTGGTAGCCTGAACTTTATATAGTATTCTAATTGTCGTATGAATTCGGAATTCCAGGATTAACGCAATTGAATTAAGAAGACACAGGCACAACGAATGTACTGTATTTAGAATTCGAAATCAAACATTCATTCAGTACAAAGGTATCATTAGTCCATTCAAACACCACATCCGCCACAGCTTAAATGGAAGTATAAGTGTTTGTAATCGGTTGTACGTCTTCTTGTTAAGTTCATCCTGAGTATGTCCGACATTGTGTAAGATAAAAACTTTGTAGTATCTGGAATTGTATACAACCAGCATGTCGGTTTTGTAATGAAATCATTAATATCTAGAATTCGAACCATAGATTTTTCAACACTATCCTCCCCCACGAAATAATGTTGGATCTTTATATCCCCAGGTTATGAATAATGTGGCTTCATTTAAAACACATTTCTCACATTGTTTAGAGTAAACATTAGAACTGTTTTTGTGATAAGGGTAAACAGCAGTTGATATGAAATCATCCGAAATGTAATCAAACTCGAGAACACTTAGTACTCGTGCTTCGCATTGAGCAGGTTTTTCACAAGGATCGAAGGCATTATGAGTAGAAGTAATATATGATATGACATCAGGATTTGATTCTTCTGAAATATTCTCATGAAATTCATTAGGACTGTCATTGCAGAGCGTAGGATCGTTAGAAAAACCAGCATCTATCCAAACCACATCAGGTTTCCGATCATGATTAGGTTCATTTAACATATTTTCCTCAATATTGCAAGTAATTTCATTAGAAATATGTGAATCATTAGGAAAAGTCATACCTGGTACAATAGCATGAGAATTCTGATAAATCGGTTGATTAGGAACTGTTGTCTCACAAGAATTCTGGATTTCATCTAACTCTGAACTGTCATATGACTCTGCACTGTCTTTTGAAATCGTTGATAAAGATAAATGATCATTAGAAACATCCGAATTATTTAAATTTAAATTACAAGATTTAGTACAGCTTGAAGCAAAATGGACAACAGCTTTGCATACTGACTGAATGTGTCCTACCTTACCACATTTAAAACATTCAGCATTATGAAATACACATGGATTGCGAGCATGAAACTTTCCACATGATAAACATTTACCAAACTTCATCTCACCTTTGTGATTTGCTTTGTAATTTCTCGTTGAAACACCTTTCATATTTACACAAGAATAGGAATCACTGTTAAATGAACGCAAATTTGATTGACCCTGAGATTGTAGTTCATCATGACGACTAAGCAAAGTATCAGAAATCTTCATCGACTGGATATCAAGTTCATTCACTGCTTCGTAGTTAATACACGCAGTCCTAGCATCTTGAAAGGAACAGTTTGGCATTCTTAACAGCTCTCTTTTCAAACTCGGTATGTTAATTCCTGCAATTGATCGATCTCTCAGTTGCACATGAAGTTGATCACCGAAATTACACTTGGCAGCTTGTTTCTGTAATTCAAGGATGAATTCCCTAGCCTTTTGGTCATTTTGACGAGTCATCTTATGAAAATTCGCCCTTTCACGGCATTCAAAACTGATGCATTTTACATGACTTAATAATAGCTCTTTAAGAGTTGCATAAGGAAGTAAGATAGGTTTTTCTGGATATGCTAAAGTTTTTAATAAGCTGTACGCTTCTCTCCCAATGAATGTGAGGAAGTGTGCCACAATATTAACATCCTCATCATCTTCTTTGGTCATGCTCCAGATTTCGAACCTTTCCAAATAATCCTCAATAGCTTCAGGAGTTGAATGAATATCCAACTTTTCCATTGCAGGTTCCATCACGACGCCAATATAGTATTCTAATTGTCGTATGAATTCGGAATTCCAGGATTAACGCAATTGAATTAAGAAGACACAGGCACAACGAATGTACTGTATTTAGAATTCGAAATCAAACATTCATTCAGTACAAAGGTATCATTAGTCCATTCAAACACCACACTTTATCATGCCGAAAAGACACGTATATGATCTGTGTAAATGACTGTGCTTTACTCGAGTTGAATGGAAATGGTGTGATCTACTAGCCCAGGTTATTCTTTCGTCATAACTAGGTGAATGGACTATCTGAGTGACTGGTTAGAATAAAAACTTGTGATAGACAATGGAATATATCATGGTTAACAAGTCGCAAAATACAATGTGTAATCTTCTCTGGACTCACCTATTCATAAGATTAAACCGATAAATTCACAACAGCCATCCTTGACCATCTTCAACAGACTTTCCAAAGATCAGTGATCTGTTGTTTAACGCAGAGATGGTCTAACCTTATGGATGATTTGTCAAGTGTCGTGTGACATTTCACTTGCCCTACAGATCATTATAATTACTTAGGTGTCAATGGTAAATGCTACGAAGTCATGGAAGCGAATCAAACATCACTATTCCTAGTAGTTCGTCGAGATGCAACTTATTTTATGTTCAAGAGTTAGTTTTTATGTGTTTTTAATTCTCACTAGATATGTGTCAAATATTGTCAAATTTGTATAGATCATGAAAATAATAATGAATTTCATAGTTTTAAGGAAGCAGTAAAGGAAAGCAAACAATCTCGTTAAGACTCATGGACACTTCGAGGATTTTTGAACATTCGGATCGGAACCTTTCTTGTTTAAACTGTCAATCGTCATATTTGAGCGCAGCTACGACTGCTAGAGAATCGGTTCCGTAAAATGTCTAATTGTGCGCTGGGATCTATTGTGTAAACTATAAACTATGGAATTTTACTTCACATTGACTAAAAAGCTGAGCAAATACACCTGGAGCGTTCAGGTATGTTTGGGTATACATCATATGTTGCGTTAGTGTAACGCATATGTATCGCTACATTTGATGACACTTTTGAATATTCTTTAATCAGTTTATTTCTAAGTAGGAACGTCATGGGAGAAGAAACATAGGTTTTGTATTTCAAGTTTGGGTCTAAATTGAATAATATGTCACCGTACACATTTACGGTGAGCGATTTTAGTCATCAAAAATATGAGACTATGCAACATTTGGATGCTGGTTATGCTATGTTTTCTCGTCTTAAGCCCCATATTTCACTGACTGGGAATTCTATCATTCGAGAGTCTTCAAGAATGCACAGTCACGTGCACTTGATACATCTTTTTCAAGCATCAGGTTAATTTATAGAATCAGTGCCTACTAAGTGAACAGAATTACTTCACTTTAGGATGTTCGAGCATTTTCAGTAATACAATGCTGTGCAACGAAAATCTGTATACTGCAAGTCCTTAGATTTATCAGTAAGTCTATCCATCGTTTTGTCTGGTGAAAAACTTGTTCTCTGGGTTTTCATCGTATTGTATATATGATAGTTGAGGCTTGATATCAGCCAACACAATAAAATAGGTCTTCCGTAATAACCTAGTTTTTTTCGCTGCACTTGGATATGGTATGCAAGGTAACCGGTAGTGTCACAATTTGCTGTTTGGCCTAATAGGATTGTCACTAAAAATCTGCTAGCTTCCATTCAAAGTCCCCTATTTGTTAAGAAGTCCCCTTCAAACAAACTAATAAGATGTTATGAGTATAAACAGCGTGGGAATTTGGCGTTGATTGTCGTTTCTAAACGGTAGTTTATTGTTTAGATTTATGTAGACAGCATATGCTGATCTCTACTCTGCGCTTATTAGTAACAGACGTAGAGAAATCAGCATCATGAGTGACGTCAGTTACTGAATTAGGGTTCAGTCGATAGACCAAGATTTCATCAACCTCTGCCGCCCGGAAGCCAATGTAGTACTGAGAACGAGTGGACTAGTCAGTGGGTTCAACGATACTATCCTACAAACGAACTAGTAAAGCAACACTCCAAATCTATCTACGGAACATCCACGACTTGACATGTCACGAAAGTTACTCAACTAAATGATATTCCCGCGTTTTAATCCTATAAGCGAACATGAGCAGCATATCCCACGCCAGTTGAAGAATCAATTATTAAACTCTTTCAGCACGTTTACAGTAAACGTGTTTGCAATATGATATTGTACATATTTCCTGAACCTATCAACGTCGTTACTTCAGATTAAATACCTTGGTGAATGCTTTTGTAACTGTAAATGTAAGTTTGTAGTTCCCATATTCAGTTTATTACTGCTAGTACAAGTTTTCCATTCATTTTCCTATGTATCCATCCCCTAATTCCTAGTATTTTACTACTGTTGATCTTGTCACCTTATATCTATAGACTTTCAAGATGAACGAACCAACTGGTGTCGGGCCAACTTTTGCTGATGCATGCGATGATGGTAATTATTAACTTTAATCCTATCCTTTTCAGGCGAACTTATCAGCATCTGTTGTCTTTGTGGTAAAACGTTTTCCAGTCAGAGTCTACTGCACAAACATTTCGAATTGATGCATGAAGGTAACTCGTCAGAAGACTTAAAGCAGTTTTGAATTAGGTACAGAGATAGACACTGAACAATATGATCTAAGTGGATTTGCCGCTATGGGGAATGAACAAGGTCGTAAAAGTAATGGTGAAGAAGATGCAAGTAAGATTCATTATTGTATTTTGAATAACTAAGATTTCATCACGTCTTGAGATGTGTGGTCAGCATTGCGTATCATCTAGTTATAATTTTTTACTTGAAATAACCGTCATCCGCACATTTCCCTACGTAATAACGGTTAACAGTTCTGTTTCTTTTAAGTACTGAGCTGAAATACGAAAGCATGAACTCCTCATAATGGATGGAAACTACAGTCTTTTACAGTGAGCTAGTACTTACCGGAAATAATCTCTCCTAAAAGTAGTGTAGGTGGTTAATACGTGTATTTATCATAAACGCTATACTCATTTTAGCTTTCTCTATCCCTGAATGTATCTAGAATACTTTTATGTACAAGTATGTGGCTGAAATCGCTCTATAAAATATCAACATGAAACAACCTCGTATTCCTAAATTCTCTCAGGTTTTATGCCATTCTTTTTAGTTTATCCCAGGAGTAATTTGTCTGATTACAAAGTGGTCATTTCTTTTCAGTTTCTCTAGTGAACAATTATAATACCAAACCTTTGGTTTCCTTAACACAACTTTTATAATATTTGTCATAAGAAAAATTAGCGATCTTAAGTGAATCAGTACCAAGCAGTTTCATCAGTAAAATCCATTTGCTGACTGACGATATTTTGAGCATACATTTTATCATAATTTATATTCATATCTGTTTATGTACGGCTCAAATTCTGGTTTGGTATATAACGAAATTGCGTTATTCAAGTGAACTTATATTATTATGGGAAAATCCAGGGCGAAAGGTTGTATTAATAATAAATAAATGGACAAAAAATAGTAATTAGTAAAAGATTCGCTAAAGCTTCACACATTCTTACCAATTTCAACGTTGTCTGGTGTGTTGGTAATCACTGGCCAGCAAACACAAGGCAGTTTGATCGTTGTTGGAGTAACAAATCAGATGGACTATTCCTTTAAGTGCTCCACCCAGTGTTCAAGATATCTTCATGGGTTTATAAATTGTGGACCATCAGTTCTGAGAGTTGTTTTAAGTGAATTGGAACAGCTTCTGACAGTAACCAGGTGCGGAGTAATTGGACATAGAGTCACAACCAAGGATTTAATCATGCTAGGTGAAAGACTAGTTGGCAACCCGCCGAAATTTGTAGGTGTAAACTGGCTAAATTAACAAAACGGCGAGTAGGGCCCCCTGCGGCCTTGCAAAACTTCGTGCTTCGAAATATTTAGCTTCTCGTGAAGGACTGATTCGTAATGAGCGGAAAGGTTTTGTTAGGGGTACCTTCGATTCGGTGGACAGGACTGCTTATTGAAGAAGGGTGTGTCTGAGAAGTTTACTAACATCCTAAAAGCCCTATCGACAACCACCTCTCTCCTCTGTCCCACTCGAGCAGTGGAGTTAGACAGGGTTGCCCAATCTCATTATTCCCCTTCAACTTTGCCATCTATGACATTCTGGAAACAGCTCTGATAGATGCAAGTAATGGCGGTGTGAATCCGTTGCTGGAGAAAGACTTCTCGACCTTGAGTATATGGATGCTATTGTCTTACTGTGTGATGATGCCCAAGCCATGCAATCCACACTTAATCAGTTGGCAATCAATGTCCGTAGGTACGGTATGTGCTTTGCACCTTCGAAGTGCAAAGTACTTCGGCAAGACTGGCAGGATTCCAATCCTGTACTCACCCTGGATGGTGAGCAGATAGACGTAGTCGAGAAGTTCGTGTATCTGGGTAGCTGCATAAGTGCTGGTGGGGGTGTGAGTGATGAGATCAATACACGTATAGTGAAAGCCAGAGCGGCTTATGCCAATCTGGGCCGTCTTTGGCGCCTTCGTGATGTTAGTCTGGCTGTATACAACGCGTCGGTGAGAGCAGTTTCGCTCTATGCTTGTGAAACCTGGCCTCTCCGAGTTAAGAATGTTAGACAACTGTGTCTGATCATCGTTGTTCCCGAAGGATTGCTGACATCCAGTGGCAAAACCATGTTAGTAATACGGAGGTTCGGCATCGTGTGTTCGGGCACAGAGACGATAATGTAATTGGTGTCACCATCTTGAAACACCGACTTCGGTGGCTTGGACATGTTCTCCGAATATCGTCCCAGAGAATTCCACGTCGTGTATTATTTACCGACTCTGGGACTGGTTGGAAGAAGCGGAGAGGTGGTCGGTGTATGACATGGTGTCGTGGTATGAAAGAAAGCTGCAAAGGGCTGGCTTCTGTTGGTCCTTCACGACTCTATGTTTGGGATCCTAGAGATGGTGCTACACAGTGGCTAGAGAGGTTATCAGATATAGCTCAGAATAGAAGCCAGTGGCGATCCTGCTGTAACTTTCATTTACTTCATAAAAAGTGATCGTAACTTTTTAAACTGAAAGGATTCTTTTCGGTTGTACCTTTCTGTATCTCTATTATTATTTCGATACCATACACTAATTTGTGGTGGTTGTTGACCTTTTTTTCTTTTTGCACTCACCTTACATTCTTTATCTCTTCCATTTCTCATTATTGTTGTGTGGCTTATATGTATCTGGTGCCCCCTTGTACCAATATTTATCTGTTCAAATAAATAAGTAAGAAAGTTTTCTGCTCAGGACGTGGATCTGTTGACTCATTTCTGCACTCCACCAAATACTGGGACACCTCCACACGTATTGCAGATCGAAAATCATTGTTTTGATATCAGATCTTCTTTGATTCATTGAGAAAAACTGCTTTCAAACTGTTTGTTGAAGGAGGATGTCTTGGAAAGTTTATTGACATCTTGATGGCTTTATACACAAACGTGCCAAACAGAGTGAGACTGTTCAACCACCTCTTTCTGTTGTTCCATCCCTACAATAAAGTTAAGCGTTGTTCCTCTGCAACTTTCATACTCATGAAATCAAAGGAAAAGTTCCAGAAGAAATGCGTTGTGCAGGTAGTAGGGTCTGTCACTTAACCTGGAGATGGACTTTTCAACATTAAGAACGCGTATAACAGTCTCACAAACTATCCAATTCGCATCTAATCAGTTAGCATATATTTTTAATACGTATGTCATGTTTCTTGAACCTGCTGAATTTGAACCACTTCTGAAAAACTGGCTGGAGCATATGGCTCCACTCAATTTCCTTTAAATCTGTTAGTAGTCGAAAATTTCATTTGTTTAAGCAGTGAGTGATAAAATAACATGACAGGTAAAATCAGTCCACGCGTAGTGGAAGACAATACAGCGTATGTTAATATCGAACATATTTGGCACCGTTGTGATGCTTGCCTCCCTCTGTGTAAGGATCAAGTTTACAATTGATTAGTCGGGAGTCTTCCTGGGATCTTCAGCTACTTTGTGTTCAGTGATCATTACCTCCAAGTGTTTGTTATCATCAGGTGGCAATGTATTACTGATTCTGAGGTTCTGCAATGAGTATTCGGCCACAGTGATGGACGAAAAATGATGTCACCATCTTGGAAAAACCGGCAGCACATTATCACTTAACACCGAGGTGGTCGCTTGATGATGTGATTCCTTAATATGAAAGATTCTTGCTCGGGATAGGCGTCTGTTGATCCGTCAAAACTCCTAGGTCGCAGTCCTAGGGATGGTGCAATTCGGTGGCGTTGGATGTTGTCGGATATAACTCATATAAACTTATTGTAATCCCAATTTAGTGAACTGAACCACCCTAACCAATTCTTACTGGCTGTACTTTTTACCGAGCTATATCTATGACATGCTATCCTTGTTTCATTTATTTATTGTAAAACGCTATTGCTCTTCATTTCACAATATTATGACGTCACATATGTGAACCTCATGTGCTAGTATTGTTCCTCAATATGACCAAAAGACTGGCGTCTTCGTCAAATAGGACTATATCACCTGTATATTCCAAATCAACAAGTAATTCTGGTAGATCAATACCTGAAAAGTTGTTTAGATGGATATCTGTAAATAAGTTGGGTAAAAATGCAGAAAAAAGATAACCGCGACAAACAGTTGGGGTTGATAATCCTATTGACATTATATACTTATTCGATGATTTTCAACAATGTTGAACAACTGAAAAATTCCTCTTAAAAATAAAGTTATTATGTTTCCTGAGTTACTGTACTTCGGTGTGCCGTGTCACTCCTAACTGTGTCTATCTTTTCTTTTTCTATTCTTTGCAACAGATTTCCGAGTTCTGAATTGTGCATTTTGCAACAAAGTATTTACTAAACACTGTAATTTGAACACACATATCAAAGCAGTCCACAAAGGTCAGATTCTGTTGTTGTAAACACTTTTTGTCTGTAATGCGTTTTTACCCTTGTTTTCCTTCAATACCTACTCACCTGTTAGGGTTTTTGATTATCTTTTAGGTGTAAAACCGTTTGAATGTACTTATTGTTATAAAGGATTCACTCGAAACTCTGACCTCCATAAACACATCGACGCTGTTGAAAGACTTTATTAATATTTATTTGGAAAGAGATTCACTATTGTTACTGACCATGAAGCTTTAAAGTTTATTTATCATCCTGAAAAATCCTTAGCACGTTCCTCAGCTGCTATAGTTCAACGATGGAGTATTGCTTTGAGTGCATATGACTATACAGTTCAGCACAGAAGTGCCAAACAAATTCAACACGTTGATTACATTTCTCCACAGTCATTACAAGATAGACCCGTTGATACTTCAGACTGTTTGTTAGAGCAATCTTTACCAGTGAGACGACCAGATCTCATTGGAGAAACTCGTAGATACTTTGGATGTATACTCAGTGCTATAAGGAAAGGCTGGAATGCTAATCTGAAACGTAGATTGCCTGTCTATTTTTCAAAGCGGGATGAGCTATCCACTACTCCTGATGGTATTTTGTGCTTAAATGATCGTGTTGTTATTCCTCCTTTATTTCGTAAATCTGTCCTTCAAGATATTCATAGTGGACGTTTAGATGGTGAGAAAATGAAGTCCATGGCAAGGCTCACATGTTGATGGCTAGAGATAAATGGAGATATATGTCTTATAGTAAACGATTGTGAAAAATGCCATAAGTTGAAAAATCAGCATTCGAAGTGAACTCCTTGGCCAGTATCGTCTGGAACCTGGCAGAGAATTCATGCAGACTATTGTGATTCATTTCTTGATAAATACTATCCACTTGTAGTCATTGGTTCTTTTTCAAATTGGCCTGAAGTTTTTTCACAACTTCACCAAATTCTGACTTCACAGTTCAAGCATTAAGAAACGGTGTTTAGTCGGTAATGGGTTCCCATGGTGTTAGTGACCGATAACGGCTCTCATTTTGCTGTGGATGCAGTCACTACCTGGTCGAATGGCAAAGCGTGCAAGCGTCCGTTTACTGCTCCCAGACATCTTTATTCTATTGGTCAGGAAGAAAATGTGGTCAGGACATTGAAAACTGCTACTGATTCTATAGCTGCTTCAACACTTAATGTTTCTCATGTGCTTGACTGTCCAGTGACTACGAATTGCAAATATAATGCGTTCATTTGTGCTCATACAGTTCTAATTGTTTTAAATCGAACTATTTTAGGATTCCTAGTTAGTACGATACTTCTAATTGTCATTGTACCCTA